AGCCAGAACATGCAAGTAACATACATACACACATATACACCGGAATTAATATTGGAATGGCTAACAGAGGTAATACATTACAAATAAATGCATACCGGTAAAGAAACCACAGTTAGGTAACTCACACATTGCAATACATTACATATTGAATACAGGTAGGTGTTATAGATCCAATACACAGGTGACATGAACACATATATACAGGTAAATCTTATACACATGTAACCTGCACGCTCAAATAATAACACATACAGCATCGTAATAACAGTTACGGTATGTATTGTACCTACATACTTATTACAGGTGCTGTAATACAAGCACATACATAACAGGTAAAGCCAACACAATCAGGTTACACACCAATATTAGTCATCATCACATACCTGTAAAACCATACGGTTTACCTGTATTCTTGTACAGGGAAATTGAGTTTCCATGTCCACAAGGCAGTTTAAAAAATCAAATAAAAAATTGCCCATTTGTCTATGTTTCTCCCTTGTGATGGGACTTTGTAGGGGTGAACGTTGAGATTTATAAGGGCATGGGGTGACCAATAAGGTCTGACTTGGCCTGTAATAAGGTAGGAACTGATAATGGTTTGACAGGTATGTCACCAGCCATAATCTATCCATTGCGGAATGCAGACTTTCCCAATGTGATGCTATCTCTAACAGACCGGTCTCTCTTTCATCCCTCCATCACCTGTGTGGTCGTCCTCTCAGACATGGTCTCTCCTTTGGCAGTCATTCCATCACCAGACTTGACCACGAGGCATAATCCCTTCTATTGATCTGTCTTGGCCAAACGCAGGTATTTTTTTGTCCTTACAGCCAACATGAAGACCTCTTCTGCATAGGTATAGCCAATGCACGGGTAAAATACGGTACACACATCCGATTAGCACCATCAGCTATGTACGGCCCGAAAGAAGTTCAACGTTCGTACGTGCAACATCTACTGAATAGAAATTGTCAAAACACACAGGCGCAATAAACATACACCGGTAAAGCCAGCAGACACGGGTAGCAACAAACACCCTAACACCTATTGAACAAGTATGGTCAATTCTCTATGGCCAACACACAAGGTAACAAAAGGACACGCGTCCAGCCTACACACAGGACTGCATTGTAATGCAGAGACACAGCCAATACGCTCCCAGGTGCGGGTTCACGCCTTGAGCCAAGGTACACAGCACCTTATTGTCTATTCCACGCAGAAACAGAGAAAATAAACACACAACACAAGACAATAAACATTGGGGGTTCTCTACACAACAGCGTCTATAGAGTACTGACGTTTAGAAATGTTGTGTACTCCAAATGATCACACGCACACACACACCAAGACATCATTATTGTATGTGCTATACAAACAACTGTGCCCCAAACACAAACACAGAGGTAACGCAAGATAGTGTTCAATAACACACACATGTATTGGATAGCCAACACATAGGTAACATCCAGAATAGAGGAGCTTTTTCGGGATTAGATCGCGTACATATAAATGTGTCGTTAAACCCGCCACCACCCGACAGCCAATTGGTAAGGTTTGTCACGTAAACAGAACCCTGACAATTCGTTACTAGTACAGCATATCGGTGTGTTGGATAGTAAATTCACAATATTTACAATCCGCGTACGACGTTTCACCAGTAATTACAACTAACATCATCAGGCCTTTGTGAATGTTGTGGATTTGCTCTCCAACACAACCGTTGTGCTATACTATTAACTCACCCGCGGCTATTTCTTCTTCCTATTATCCGCGACAATCCGCGATTTTACCCATAATGTACGAGTCGCGGTTTTATTCGAGGATAAGAGGGAGTTGCGCGGTAAATTCATCCTATTATCATCCGCGATTCCCACCCCCCCTTGATTATAGGATCCGCGATGTTGTTCCCTCGACCTATTGAACGCGGATTAGAGGAGTTATTGTGTAGTGTACATACACAGCACGAACACACACAGCACTTGCACAGTGTGCACACAGTGCATACACACAGAGTACGTACACAGTACCTACAGCGTGCACACACAGCACCTACAGTGCATACACACAGAGTACGTACACAGCACCTACCGTGTGTACGCACAGTACCTACCGTGTGTACGCACAGTACCTACAGTGTGTACGCACAGTACCTACAGCGTGCACACACAGCACCTACAGTGTGTACGCACAGTACCTACCGTGTGTACGCACAGTACCTACAGCGTGTACGCACAGTACCTACAGCGTACACGCACAGCACCTACAGTGTGTACGCACAGTACCTACCGTGTGTACGCACAGCACCTACAGTGTGTACGCACAGTACCTACAGTGCATACACACAGTACGTGCACAGCACCTACAGTGTGTACGCACAGTACCTACAGTGTGTACGCACAGTACCTACAGTGTGTACGCACAGCACCTACAGTGTGTACGCACAGTACATACAGTACCTACAGTGTGTACGCACAGTACATACAGTACCTACAGTGTGTATACACAGTACATACAGTGCCTACAGTGTGTACGCACAGTACCTACAGTGTGTACGCACAGTACCTACAGTGTACGCACAGTACCTACAGTGTACGCACAGTACCTACAGTGTGTACGCGCAGTACCTACAGTGTGTACGCGCCGTACACAGTGTGTACGCACAGTACATACAGTGTGTCCACACAGCACCTACAGTGTGTACACAGTACCTACAGTGTACACACACAGTACATACAGTGTGTACACACAGTACATGCAGTGTGTACACACAGTACATACATATTTTATTCTCATTCTACGTGACTTTACAGAAAGAACCAAAGAAGATCTATAGATATATCATCTATATATTTATAGATATGTAATCTAGTGATGGAAAAAAGTATTTGATCCCCTGCTGATTTTGTACGTTTGCCCACTGACAAATAAATTATCAGTCTATAATTTTAATGGTAGGTTTTAATTTGAACATTGAGGAGACAGAATAACAAAAAAATCCAGAAAAACGCATGTCAAAAATGTTATAAATTGATTTGCATTTTAATGAGGGAAATAAGTATTTGACCCCTCTGCAAAACATGACTTGGTACTTGGTGGCAAAACCCTTGTTGGCAATCACAGAGGTCAGACGTTTGCACACATCTTAGGAGGGATTTTGTCCCACTCCTCTTTCCAGATCTTCTCTAAGTCATTACGGTTTCAAGGCTGACGTTTGGCAACTCGAACCTTCAGCTCCCTCCACAGATTTTCTATGGGATTAAGGTCTAGAGACTGGCTAGGCCACTCCAGGACCTGAATGTGCTTCTTCTTGAGCCACTCCTTTGTTGCCTTGGCCGTGTGTTTTGGGTCATTGTCATGCTGGAATACCCATCCACGACCCATTTTCAATGCCCTGGCTGAGGGAAGGAGGTTCTCACCCAAGATTTGACGGTACATGGCCCCGTCCATCGTCCCTTTGATGCGGTGAAGTTGTCCTGTCCCCTTAGCAGAAAAAAACCCCAAAGCATGTTTCCACCTCCATGTTTGACGGTGGGGATGGTGTTCTTGGGGTCATAGGCAGCATTGCTCCTCCTCCAAACACGGCGAGTTGAGTTGGTGCCAAAGAGCTCCATTTTGGTCTCATCTGACCACAACACTTTCACCCAATTGTCCTCTTAATCATTCAGATGTTTATTGGCAAACTTCAGACAGGCATGTATATGTGCTTTCTTGAGCAGGGGGACCTTGCGGGCGCTGCAGGATTTCAGTCCTTCACGGCGTAGTGTGTTACCAATTGTTTTCTTGGTGACTATGGTCCCAGCTGCCTTGAGATCATTGACAAGATCCTCCCGTGTAGTTCTGGGCTGATTCCTCACCGTTCTCATGATCATTGCAACTCCACGAGGTGAGATCTTGCATGGAGCCCCAGGCCGAGGGAGATTGACAGTTCTTTTGTGTTTCTTCCAAATGCGAATAATCGCATCAACTGTTGTCACCTTCTCACCAAGCTGTTTGGCAATGGTCTTGTAGCCCATTCCAGCCTTGTGTAGGTCTACAATCTTGTCCCTGACATCCTTGGAGAGCTCTTTGCTCTTGGCCATGGTGGAGAGTTTGGAATCTGATTGATTGCTTCTGTGGACAGGTGTCTTTTATACAGGTAACAAGCTGAGATTAGGAGCACTCCCTTTAAGAGTGTGCTCCTAATCTCAGCTCGTTACCTGTATAAAAGACACCTGGGAGCCAGAAATCTTTCTGATTGAGAGGGGGTCAAATACTTATTTCCCTCCTTAAAATGCAAATCAATTTATAACATTTTTGACATGCGTTTTTCTGGATTTTCTTGTCATTCTGTCTCTCACTGTTCAAATAAACCTACCATTAAAATTATAGACTGATCATTTCTTTGTCAGTGGGCAAACGTACAAAATCAGCAGGGGATCAAATACTTTTTTCCCTCACTGTACATAGCTACGATCCAACTTAATCGGTATAATTTACACACATGTAACACAAACATTACTGTGATGTATAACGGTCCTGCATTGTATTGAGTATATTGCATGCACGTTTGACCTACACACGCATAAGTAACATACGGTAGAGTTATAACTTACACACAGGTAACGCATATACATTGTTAATGTATCAATACCGTAGAGTATTGGTTATCGATGCAAGCGTTGCAACGACGTACACACACAGTTAACACAATGACACAGAGACAATCCACGCACAGATTTAACATGCTACACAAATGCCAAGTGCTGTACAACATTTTACACACGCGTGCTATACATACAGGCCAGCAGTGGATTGATGACTGATTATGGTCATTTAGTCATTGCCAAACACGGCAAACACACAACTAGATTTGCCATACAGCACTAACAAGGATACTAAATCCATAACGTAACATAAAAACACAACTTGTAGCCCCCTGCACTGTATTGTGTACACAGTACATAAACGCTTCATAGAAGTCAACCTTTGCACAGCAACGCGACGAGTTCGCCTCGACTCACCTGGGCAGGGCTCTCGAAGCCTTGCATCCTTCCACGGCGACGTCGGGAGTCGAACCACAGCCTTCAGTGGACCGGTGAGCGACAACAATGGGGAGGGAGCTCTGCTGTTGATGCTGGAGGCGAAGAGGGTAGGGGGGGGAGAGAGAGAGGCTTTCCTAGACAGAGCAACGCGTGCGGAGCGAGCGTCGCTCTGTCCACCTCGAAGCCCCTCGCAGTCTCCCCCCTCACTCCGTCGCCTCCCTCCTTACGTCTCTCTGTCGCCTCCCCTTCTCCTCGCTGAGTCCCGCCCCCTGGCTCTCTTGTCCCGCCCCCTGGCTCTCTTGTCCCGCCCCCTGGCTCCCTGGCCCTCCCCCTGGCTAACCCTGTGCCGCCCCCCCTTGGCTCCACCGTCCCCCCCCCCTGGCTCCCCCGTCCCTCCCCCCTGGCTCCCCCGTCCCCCCCCCCCTGGCTCCCCCGTCCCTCCCCCCTGGCTCCCCCGTCCCCCCCCCCCTGGCTCCCCCGTCCCTCCCCCCTGGCTCCCCCGTCCCTCCCCCTGGCTCCCCCGTCCCTCCCCCCTGGCTCCCCCGTCCCCCCCCCTGGCTCCCCCGTCCCTCCCCCCTGGCTGCCCCGTCCCCCCCCCTGGCTCCCCCGTCCCTCCCCCTGGCTCCCCCGTCCCTCCCCCCTGGCTCCCCCGTCCCCCCCCCTGGCTCCCCCGTCCCTCCCCCCTGGCTGCCCCGTCCCCCCCCCTGGCTCCCCGTCCCCCCCCCCCTGGCTGCTCCGTCCCCCCCCCTGGCTCCCCCGTCCCTCCCCCCTGGCTGCCCCGTCCCTCCCCCTGGCTGCACCGTCCCCCCCCCCCTGGCTCCACCGTCCCTCCCCCCTGGCTCCCCCGTCCCTCCCCCCTGGCTCCACCGTCACTCCCCCCTGGCTCCCCCGTCCCTCCCCCTGGCTCCACCGTCCCTCCCCCCTGGCTACCCCGTCCCTCCCCCCTGGCTCCACCGTCACTCCCCCCTGGCTCCCCCGTCCCTCCCCCCTGGCTCCACCGTCCCTCCCCCCTGGCTACCCCGTCCCTCCCTCCTGGCTCCCCCGTCTCTCCCCCCTGGCTCCCCCGTCCCTCCCCCCTGGCTCCCACTAAAGCCCCTCCCCTTCTCGAGAACCCAACCCGGCCCACTCAGTCACCTCCCTCCCACTTCTTCTCCGCTTCACTCCCTGCCCATGAGTTGTGTGCAATATTCCTTAAGGACCCTGTCTGCACTCGTTCAGCTGCGATTTTGGTGTTGTTCGTGGTGGTGGTGGTGTTGTTGTGCTCACGGCACCACGGACCTCACTCGTGCAATAACCGAGAAACTGGCTAAACGTGATCACACCCGTGCAACAAATCAAATCGACTTAGACCCAATTCCTCTCACGCCCCTGTGTTACCTCCTTATCTGTGTCTCTCTCTATATCACGACCCCTCCTCTTGTCTGTCACTCCCTTCCTGTGACTCCTCTTTAGTCTTGTGCCTCCCTTGTCTCGACATCCCTGTAATCCCTTTGTCTCCATCCCACCGTCTGTGCCTCCCCGTCGTTGAATCTTCCCACTTCACTCAGTCCCCCCTCTTTATTCTCTCGTTCCTCCCGACTAATCACAGTACTCAGATTGTAAATGTTGTGGCTTGGCTCTCCAACACACCGGTGTTGCTGTACTCGTAACGAATTGGCCACGTTCTGTTTACGTGACAACCCTTACTAGTTGGCTGTGTCGGGTGGTGGCGGGTTTTAACGACGCATTTATATATTTACGCGATCTAACCCCAAAAAACATATATTATTGATTGAAAGCTTCCATCCTGTCTCTCCCTCTCAATATATCCATCCCTCCCCCCTTCCACTCTCTGTCCCCCCCTCCCACTTTCCCTTCCCACACACCCCTCTCACACACCCCTCCCATACATCCACTCTTTCTTTGTCCCTCCTGTGTGCCCCTCCATCTCCTCCTCCTCCTCTCTGCGTCCCTCTCTGTTCCACCCACTGTGCATGAAACGATGACATCATCCCGCATGGGGTGAAGCCAGTCGCCGTGCGCGTCTGTGTATGCTGAACTTCTTTCGCACCGTACATAGCCAACCCTGCTAAAAGGAGGTGCCGAGGGGGAAGGAAAACACGAAACACAAAAAGCAGTGTGTGGTGTGTCTACGCGTGTCATCGAGCACCTATTAAGGTGTATCTTTATAGCTGCTTGCTGTTATGGTGCAGTTGAATCTGAATATGAGCACATATAATGTAAACACACACGTGCGGTTATGCTGTAATTCAATTCAAGTTTATTTACATTGCTCCCTACCATGACAATCAACTTCTCAAAACACGTTACAATGTTACAATTAACCAAGAGGAATGTAACCTATAAGTAACACATCCTAACCATTAGCCACTCGTGACAGAAATCAAAGGCTAACTTCTGATACAAGAATACTCCCCGTCAGATATACAGTAGACCCTTTGTCTCCTCACTACTTATGAAAGGTCACCTCGCAAAAAAAAATGTTAAGATCCTCCTTTCCTGTTTAAGTTGAAAAACCTGTTTGTATGTATACTTAATCTATTATTTATTGTCTATGGTCATTGAAGGGAATGTTTAAATCCCCTGTATAGCTGCTGATAGTGACCACACCACAACGGACTCTGAGTAAAGGCTGAGATGGTCTCGGGGAAACCCAGGGCAGGTTTAGATTATAATTGGTCACTGTTGTGCATCGTGACCAGGGGTCAAACCCACGTGAAGATAGTTGGAGAGCAGTCTCCAAACCACCACGCTTTGCCACCCATCACTCTACACACGTAGTAGCCACTAACAGCGGTTGTGTTCATCTTTAAAAAAAAAATCATATGTTTTTGGCATGTGTGTCTGTGTTTTCGTGTGAACAATGTTTTAGCAGCCAACACGCTTCCTGCCCATATCTGTCTCTCCACATAAATAATAAAACAATCAATATATACATGATTTGTGTGGGTTGGTGTCAACATTGCAAGAACACTGTGATCTCACCAAATAATTAAACTGTGAAGGAAAAAAACTGTTTCGTTTGAGACAAATATATTCAGCCAAATCTTGTGAGATGTGAGATGCCAAATGATCCGGAATCTGCCCGATCAGAATATTAAACATAATTGAGCCTGTTTAGTGGTCGTGTCCCATGCTTGGCGATGGCTAACATCAATGGCGATTGATATCTGGAGTTTAACCCTTATGGTCAATGAAATCGCCTCCATGACAAACACTGCGATGCCTTCATCCATCAGAGTAAAGTATTGACATCATTTGTGTTATTTCGTTGTAGTGGTAAAACCTTGATTAGGACCGTTCTGTAATTTATGTTTCAAAAAAATATGAATCCATGCCGCTCTACTAGTAGCATAGAGAAAACATCCTAGTAATTGCGTCTTTATTGATTGTGTCAGTTATGTCACGCAATCGCCACATGTTACACAGCCGCGAATTTGTGATTTCTTTTTTTTCCAGCTGTGCAGATGTGTGAATGTTTTTTTTCTCCGGGCGCATCTGCACAGTAAGCACTCAAAACTGGGCTTCACTGAATGCAGCGCAAATCGTAATTTTGTTTGCGTGTAGCGGAAGCGCAGTCACTGTGGCCTGTGGGTGCCCTGGTCGTCTGGACACCACCACCACGTCTAGATATTTCTTTGAGACACCCACCACTTTCATGGAATTTTTGAGTCACCTTCTCCCAATCAACAAGGTGACAAGTGATAATTATGCTGATGACGGAACCTTTAAATATGCATTAGCGTACGAACAGCAGGCTCGGACCTGAGTCAGCAGCTGGCAATTGAGTATATTTAATATAATTATAGTGGTTGCATATAGTTAAACATGTTAAATGGGGTTTGCCAGGGCTACATATAGTGTGTCAACAGTAATTCATGAAAGCAGCATTGCTGTAGATAACAGGTTACTGTGCATCTGCAATCTAACCGACAACCACCGGGGAGCCATTCGCGATTAGGACACCTATCAGCATCCACAATTTGACCGTGCCCCTGCTGTGCAATCATTGACAATTATGCCAACAAGTGAGACTGTCAGACACTCTACATATGATAAGCTGGTTTGATCTTGTGCGAACGCGCATGGACAAAAAAATGAAAAGTCCACAAAGCAGCATGGAGAGATACAGACAGAGGAAGACGTGTGTTTAGCGAACGTCCACGGGTTAATTAACTAATTTAAACTGTTAACAACAGTGAGTGGGGATTGGGCTTGGGCAGGACACGTCGCAAGAAGGGATCTTGGTCACTGGTCAAGAGTAGTGACGGATTGGCAGTCAAGGAATGGAATGCATCTGAGAGGACGCCTTGATTTTGTTTTACCCTTGATTATATTTATTTTAATGAGGAAATAAACCTTGGAGAGGCCTTAATCCAGCAGGTTATTGACCATGGCTGATGATGATATACCGTATACAACCCTTTTGTCAATCCACTGCTGGATGAGTCTCCCCACACCGAGTGGGTTATGGGTTATTTGACCCATGCGTCAGTAAGTTCGTCAGTGTACAGATGTTAGAGCATAGTACAGTGCAACAATTGATATTGCTGCAAAGGCCTCTGCTGACTGCAAGGCCCCGCAGGAGCCTACAGCTCTTGTTTATGCATGCGGTCGCCCATGTTCTACAAACACTGCAGGCGCGTTGCTGATCAGCATCTGATCCGATGAGATCGGATAAAAATCATAATAGGTTCTCGGTGTTCTGAAACAGACATTGGGATCAGTCTCCCGAGTCTCGGGCTTTTGCATTTTAATACTATGCAAAAAAAACAGATTGTGTATTTTTATTTATTTAAAGCTTTCGTGACTGCAGGGATTCATATTCTTGGTTCTTTCGGTAAAGTCACGTAGAAGGGAAACAATCAATTAATAAAAAATATAAAACAATAAAATTATCACGACGTTTCGACTGCAACACAAGCAATCATCATCAGGTGTGAAAAGAAAAATGTTCTTGCTGTGGAGAATTTTATTGTTTTATATTTTTATTAGATTGTGTATTGTGTTATGTCAATGTTTAAATTTGCACAGAGCTCTCGTGTCCTGAGTCGATAAGACACTGTGCCAGCCCCACTTCTGGCAGGGAAGTTTACCGCAGAGAATCATACATTTTCAACCGCCTCCGTTTCTTGTCTCCACTGTCACTCACTCGGCAAGGATTAAATTGCCTTACAAACACGCTCACTCCCACATGTGGCCTGTGCATGGCAATTTGCAAGATTAGGACTTGAAGAGTGAC